GAAAAAGGCATCCGCCACCTTCTACGATACGTACATGCTACCCACCGTCTTCCCATCTATCACGATATTGTCCCTAATGAACCCGCCCCTTAAACATCCAGATACTCATCAAATATATTGTGCATCCTCCTCCATACTACCACACCTTATGAACCCTGTTTATTACATACCTCCGACCTTCCCCCCTTCCCCCCATCTCGCTATCGAACACCCCAAACCTATATCATCACACACTTAGCATCACCATTATTTAACTAACGACCCTCTGCACAGATCCGCGGTGAAACCTCCCGAGCGTCCGAGCCCTGCTCCGCGATCCCGAGCGTTCGAGCACCGGCTCCGCTACATCGCGCGTCCGAGACCCGTCTCCGCATCCCGTCGCCCGCAGCTCCCCATCCTCGCACCACAGTATCCTCCCACGCCCTGCCCGTTCTTTCGCGCCGTCCGTGACCCAGGGTACATTCAGTCCGAGGCCCTGCTCGGCACCTGGGTCAATAGTTAGTAGATACATACCGTGTACCATAGTCGCTTACAGCGACTCGAGCACGCTAATGGATTTCATCATCATCATCATGCCCTAATTTGGGCATGACTCTATGCCCAAGTACAGGCAATTGTTCCCACGGCGTCTCTTTCCACTGCGGCTCATCCTCCTTTGCCCTCCACTGCCATTGCCTTCCCACCTGGCGCATTCGACACTTCTGTGCACCACTTTTCAATGTATTTCAAACCTGCGGACCGTCTGAACCCGTCACATCGGCCCGAGTGAAGATTCAAAGCAGCAATAGTATTGACTGCACATACGACCTCAACTCCTCCGAAGGCCGAGGCTTCTGTAATTTGTGTCTCATCTCAACTCTACATTGCTGGCTGTAATTACCTCTGCTTGAGCAAGCCTTGTGCACCCAACTGGTCATGTCCAGGTATGTCTCGTCCTTCATTTTTATTAGATGTCCTGTGTGTACGCTCTTTACTGTCTGTGCCGAGCCCACTTTCCTCAGTACTCCCTTCGAGACGGGCGTGCGCGTGGGTGAGTTCTGTGATGGCGCAGGGCGGCGCGGTGACGTGTGCGGGCACAATTGACGCTCTAATTCGAGCAGCTCGCTCGGGGAGCGCAGGTGCTGGAGTCCAGGCCTGCAGTGGTGGCGTGGCACCTGGTCGCAGAGCGCGGGGCCAGTCCGACACTGCGTTTTGGACGCTGTGTCGCATTTTGACTGGGCGACTCGTGTCGTCGCCACTGGTGCTCGTGACTCAGTGGCGGCACTCCATCTGGCGTAGAGTGTGCAAAATAGGCAGGTCAGCGCGCGTCGCAGATGACAGTGCGGTGCTCCATACTTTGGCTGCGCACAGCTCGTGTGGTCTGGTGCCTGTGCTGTGGTGCGTGACTTGTCTGATGTGGCGCGACGGAGTTGCGGGGATGGAGGTGCAGTGTGTCGGGGAAGGAAGTGCATAGCGGGCAGGTGCATGCACGTTTCCGGAGTCCGTAAGCGTGCGTAGGCCCCAGGTACGCATGCACCCATTATGAGGAAAACCACCTAATCTTGCCAACAGTTTCTTGCTCTCTGTAAAAAGTCCCGTCCGCACCCTAGAAACTCAGATGTAGGTAAATCTTCGTTTTATTTCGGAGGGGAAGACCGTTGACCTTGATCATGAAGGGCCGGTCACCAGCAGCGGCCAGCTCCCCAACACAAATATGATACACGTACCCCGGAAGCTACCAGCGGGGTGGATGAGAACGGATCCCGGGGTGATAGAGGAGCGGAGGTCGGCGGGTTCGGGGGATTTACGGCTGTTCTTGGGCAGGTGCACATTCTCTGTGGGATAGAACCGCGAGGCTTTTGGCATGGAAATTCGCTTGTTTATTGCTGTTCTTGTTCCCGCTGACCAACTTTTCAACGGTCGCTGGCGACTCAGTTGCGACGAGCTTTTCTGATTTTTTGAGGCCCTTGTAGCGCTGTTTTTATTTAAACATCTCGTTTACTAACTGTGAATAAGAATGATCAGTGAGGTGTCTGCAGATGCAGAAGCAAAAGGTCAAGGAGCGGTAAGAGCGTGGAATCTTGAGAAAGAAAAAAAGAAGTCGGACAAAGAAAAAATGCAGACTCCAGTAAGATTCGAACCCACATGGACCACTGGAGCACTTGATTTGCCTTCTCTACGCCTTACAAGTACTCCACTCAGACAATTCCAAACCTGGGGTCATAAGCGTCTTCAAAAACCTGCCAGGACATAACACCAAAGTCCGCTGTCATCGGCAACTCCAATCAACCAAACAGCAAACCAAAGGTTGATGGCACCCACACACTTCTCTTGCTTTCCCCCCTCATCTCTCCCCTTCGGTCTTGCCTTCTGTGGCTCCTAACGGTGAGGTCTGCCCTTTTCTGGGCCTTCACAATCCCCCATGTAGGTCTCCTCCCTTGTCCTACACTCTTTCCTATAATCATCTCCTTTCATACAGACTGCCATTGTCTGGTGGACTCCACATCGACACGGATGTAGCGCTGGAGGGATTAAGAACATCAATCTGTCCTCACCGACCTCTCCGGTATGTAATAATCCTCATCCCTCAAATATTATGCTCATGACGACCACAGTGAGGCCGTACATAGACCAGGTACGTTTTTTCTGTGATCGTTTCTTCTATTCATCTTACTAACCAGATCACGCCAGCTTCGTGTACGTTCCCACCCCGCGGCTCCGGCGCAAAGTGTCATACATACCCCCGGGCGCTCCGCCATCGCACCACTCATTCAAGACGTCAACGGTACGTATTCAATTGAGTTCGTCGTTTCATATATACAGCGTGCTGCGATCACCCATCTACTTTTAGGTCTGCGTGCACATCAATTTCTAAGGCATACCAACAGCGTGCATCCTGTCGTCGCCGTGTCTGACGGCGGTATGCAACCATTATGTACATATGAACATGATACTTAGGCTTCTTAAGGTACGAACTGCGTCTGTGCGCCACCTATATCCGGTATCCAGTGTTGCATTGCTTTGACCCAAATTTCTGATTTTGTTCGTGCATTTAGATGTGCGTCTAGATAGTTATATTATCTACATGTCACTTTTGTATTATGTAGTTTTTCAATGACATTCCTTGTTCTCCAATCAATGTTTTGAAATGGATAGAGCCTTGAACATTCACTGCCATTCCCTGCAAATTGGCTGGAAATGTTGGGAAAATGTCTGAAAATACGTACCATTTTTTAGGGACTGAAAAATTCTGCCATTTTGACAATTCTTAACAATTCTCAGGAAATTTCAAGACTTGGCGACAACTGGCCACACTTCTTGCCAAAAGGCAATGGGGGATTTTCCTGATGCGCAGTGTATATGTCCTTTTTGTTGAAAACTTGCCCACGATAAATTCAGAGGCGCGTAAAGCGAGGGTCGAAAGACCCAGTAGCGAATTGAATCGCACCGACGGAGCATGCTCGCGATCGCTAGAAGCTTTCAAGGCGGAGGTCCTGGTTCGATTCCAGGCTGGGTCATTGGGTCATAGTTCATATCTTTTCTTGAAAACGTACTAACGGACGAGTGGTTTACATGTATGTTTAGGATACACCGGTACCTAGGAAGTATGGCACATATACTGTGCAAAAATTATTAGAGGTCATCTTGGGAGTGGAGACAGGTTTTTTGAATACATCTTTGAAATGTAAACAGGGTTTTTGCTTGCATCTCTCAAAATGGTGACATCTTTCAACTTAGTTGCATCCATTGTAGAGCTTCACAGTTCACCTAGCTCCAATCAGTTGCTTCGAGTGCGAATTTTTTGACTCGAAATCATCCCGAGGGTAGCGCAACTGATAATATTGATCGGAAGGGTGATCCGAATGTTCCGCTAGGATCCCAAGAAGGATATTTTATAGTTTTTGAGCCTCGGAGAGCAGAGAATCATAAATACGATGAAGAATATATTTTTGTGGTTCAAAACAGTCACTTGGGAAATATTGAGACAAATCCCAATGCCCCTAAAAGTTTGGGCAAAATTGCTAGTCCACGAAGTCAAACTACGGTAAAATCTCTTCAGTATTTACCTGAACCTTGCTGGTAGGTGCTCCAAATAGATCTTCCGATGATTTTGTACTTAAAATATGATATCCGTGAGACTTGAGCTGAGGCAGAAATGCAAAGAGGCCGACAGAGTACGAATTGATCCCGGGCTGGTAGTTGGGATCTGATCCCAACATTTTGGTGATCAATCTCAATTTTGCCGAGATGCCAACGGCGAACCCACATGAATCTTTAAAAACACGGTATTTCTGCTCCAGGATTAAAAACCTGTTTATAAACCGGCATAATAAACAAGACCCTAGCCAACGCCTCGCTAAGATGTAAGCCGTTTCAAGACGTTGCATCTAAAGTGAAGATGTAAACTTCCTGTGAGTTGCCACCCAAGCTAATCTATTGAGATGTAAGTTGTCTACAAAAACCCTGTAAATTTTCACTAAATTTTGCACAGTATATCGCCCATACAAAGGCACAGAACGAAAAAGCACCAAACAATGAATTCAGTGGCATATAGTGAAGGTCAAGAGGCCTGGCACCGGCGCAGCATACAGCGTACTCAGTGTCTAAGCCGGACATGATCCTGGTTGGAGCCCAGGCTGGGCCATAAACACCGATGACACGTCTTTTTTCTTGAAAAGCACGGGAATGATGAGATGAATCGAGTGGCGCGTAAAGCGAGGAGGACCCAGTAGCGAGATGAAACGCACCGGCGCATTGCAACTATCTTTGTCAGAAGCTTTGAAGCCGGAAGCCCTGGTTCGAGTCCAGGCTGGGTCATAAGACTGTTCTCGTGCGTTTTTTTTTCTTGAAAAGCACGGAAACGATGAAACGAATTCAGAGGCGCGTAAAGTGACAAGCCATATTAGATCCTGTAAACCAGGCTGGTCATTTATACAGCTGAACTCAGACGCATTTTTGAACACCGCGCTAACGGGCAGGTCATTGACCCATATATACGGGATGCAAATGTGGGCCGTGAAGACCCAGTGGCGAGAGGAATCGCACCGGCGCAGCGTGCCTTGGTCGTCAGAAGATTTCAAGCCGGAGATGCTCCTGGTTCGAATCCAGGCTGGTCATGAACACGGTAGTATCCCCTTTTTTGCTCTCCGAAAATGGGGAGCTGGGTCTATGCATACACGCTGACGAAGCAGAGGTCCCTGGGGAAGAACCCGGGCGTACAGGTCGTGGTCTACGAATCTGGACTCGTATTTGAGGAATGTGCCAAGTGGCCCAGACATACGGGATGCAAAAGTGGGTAGGGAAGACCCAGTAGTGAAATAAATCGCACCGGCGCAGCATGTAGGTCATTGCTATAAGCTTTAAAGCCGGAGATCCTGGTTCGAGTCCAGGCTGGGTCCTGCGAAGTGTCGGCAGGATTTTTTTCTCGAAAAGCCCGGGGACGATGAGATGAATCGAGTGGCGCGTAAAGCGAGGGTCAAAAGACCCAGTAGCGAAATGAATTGCACCGGTGCAGCATGTACGCAGTCATCGCCACAAGCTTTCAAGCCGAAGTTGCTCTTGGTTCGAATCCAGGCTGGATCATTCGCACCTGACAATCTTTTTTGTTGAAAACGCACTAACGGGCAAGCAGTTTGCGTGTATAATGAGGATCTAAATCTAAGCTGGAAGGACCCAGTAGCGAGAGGAAACGCAGCAGCGGAGCATATCCACCATTGAAAGACACTTTAAAGCCCTGGTTCGAATCCAGGCTCGGTCATATATGTGGACAGGTCGTCTTTTTCGTTGAACATGCAAGTGGTTTACGTGTACCGGCGCAGCATAAAAATTTCCTACCTAGTCACTAAGCCGGAGACGATCCTGCTTCGAATCCAGGCTGGGTCATAGTGCATCCTGGCGCTTTTTTTCATGTAAACGCGCCAACGGAGAAGTGATTGACGTGTATATTGAGGATCTACACCTGCCAAACTGAGTACCCAGTAGAGAAATGACTCGCACCTGCGCAGCATGAAAAACATCCCCTAGGAGCTGTAAAGCCGGAGATAATCCTGGATCGAATCCAGGCTGGGTCATTAGCTTGGGAACTTGTGGTGCACATCTTTTTTTTAACCCAGTAGCAAGAGGAATCGCACCGGCACAGTATGCACTCCCCAAAGTTATTAAGCGGGCGAAGATCCTGGTTCGAATCCAGGCTGGGTCATAACATGTTAAGCTGTCGTTTTTTTCTTGAAAATTACGGAACGATGAATTCAGCAGCATCTAAAGCGAGGATCGAAAGACCCAGTAGCGAGAGGATTCGCACCAGGGTGGCATATATTGTGTCCACTGCCACTAAGCTGGATATGATCCTGGTTCAAATCCAGGCTGGGTCATGACTGAAACTCAAGCTCGTTTTTGAACACCGCAATAACGGGCAGGTCATTGATCCATATGTTCGGATGCAAAGGTGGGTAGGAAAAACCCAGTAGCGAAAGGCATCGCACCGGCGCATGTAGCCTGTCCACCGTCGTTAAACCGGAAATGATCCTGATTCGAGTCCAGACTGGGTCATTACTGTTATATTCATGCATATTTTTTTCTTAAAAACACGCCAACGTACAACTGTTTGGTGTGTATATTGAGGATCCACAGCTGAGAAGGAAGGACCCAGTAGCAAGAGGAATCGCACCGGCGCAGCGTGGCCACACTCGCTACAAGCTGTCAAGCCGGAAGCCCTGGTTCGAATCCAGGCTGGGTCATAATGCCAAAAGGTCTGGTTTTTTTTTCTTGGAAATCCCGGAACGATGAGATGAATTTAGTGGTGCGTAAATGGAGAATCAAAAGACCAAGGAGCGAGAAGAATAGCACCGGAGGACGTAAAATTTCCACCTCGTTAAGCCAGAGATCATCCTGGTTCGAATCCAGGCTGCGTCATAGGTCAGGTCCCATTTCTTTTTTGTTGAAAACCACGGAACGATGAGTTCAGTGGCGCGTAAATCGAGGGTCAAGAGACCCAGTAGCGAGAGGGATCTCACCGGCGCAGAATATCCACAATCGATGGAAGATATCAAGCCGGAGATCCTGATTTGATTCCGGGCTGGGTCATCATCAACTGAGCTTGAACGTGTTTTTTAAACAACGCGCCAACGGTTAAGCCAGTGACCCATATATACGGATGCAAAGGTGGGTATGGAAGACCCATAGCGAGAGGAATCACACCAGCGCAGCATGTAGGATATTCACCGCCGTTAAACCGAAGATGATCCTGGTTCATGCAATCTTCCAGTCTAAGAAGCACACATTTTTTTTCTTGAAAATCACGGAACGACGAATTCAGTGGCACGTAAAGTGGGGGTCAAGAGACCCAGTAGTGAAATGAATCGCACCGGCGCAGCATGTCAAGTTTCCACCTCGTGAAGCCGGAGATGATCCTGGTTCGAGTCCAGGTTGGGTCATTGAAAGTTCCAGTGGTGCGTCTTTTTCTCTTGAAATACACGGAACGATGAGTTCAGTGGCGGGTAAAGCGAGGGTCGAAAGACCTAGTAGCGAATCAATTGCACCTGTGCAGCATTTCTTCTACTGAAAGGAGCTCTCAAGCCGGAGACAACCCTGGTTCGAATCTAGGCTAGGTCATTGGGTCATAGTTCATATATTTTCTTGAAAACGCGCTAACGGACAAGTGGTTTCCGTGTATATTAAGGATCTAAAGCTGAAAAGGAGGACCTAGTAGTGAAATGAATCGCACCGGCGCAGCATGCTCTGTATTCTGTGTCGCTAAGCCAGAGATCCTGGTTCGAATCCATGCTGGGTCATCAGGAAATCCCGCACGCTTTTTCTAGAAAAGCACGGGACGATGAGAGGATTCGAGCGACGTACAAAATGAGGTTCAGGACACCTAGTAGCCAAACGCGTCGCACCGGCGCAGCATGTAAAGTTTCCACCTCGTGAAGCCGGAGATGATCCTGGTTCGAAGTCAGGCTAGGTCATTCTTCCAGTTTCCGTCTTTTTTTCCTTGAAAATCACGGAACGATGAATTCAGGGGCGCGTGAAGTGAGGGTCAAGAGACCCAGTGGCGAAGGGCATCGCACCGGCGCAGCATGGAAAACATCCGATAGAAGCTGAAAAGCCGGAGATGATAGATACTCCTGGTTCGAGTCCAGGCTGGGTCATAACTGCGAAGGGATCATTTGTTTTCTTCAAACGCTGGGCCCACGCACCGGCCTGCGTTTGAAAAACGTGGAGGGTGCGTTGAGGGTGCGTGTCACGGTATAGTTGAACTGCGGGAGGGTATGAGGGGTAGGCTCGTGGCGGGATGCTAGTACAACAAATCTTAGCACTCGTCTCTCGTAGCGGAATGCGTTGCGCTGTCAGCATCTGTGGCTTACACGTTATGAACTTACTCCTGGTTCGAATCCAGGGCGGGACATGATGTTCCACTAGAACGTGTCTTTTTTACCCCGGGCAGCTGGCCCCGTCCCTGCACGCGTGTCGCAGACTTACACGAATATGTACCTCCCAATACCAATCGAACCTAATTTCAAACAAATGGGCGCGAAAGACCTGCGGGCCTCGGGCGCGTCGCGGGGAACAAAGAAGACGCCGGCCGCGTGTCTGTGGCTGTGCCCGTGTCAATCTTTTAATTAAGCGAACAACGACGATGTAGCGCTGTGCTGGAAATTAAATAGCAGTTATTAACTTTTGCTAGAAATTGCGGAGCCCTAGGTCCATAGCTAGCACATGTTATTAACAGATAAATAGCATTGATGCTATTATCGGCTATTTACTGCTATAAATCAATAAATAGCATGTTATATATGCTAAGAATGCTAAAAATCAGTCATCCACATCCCACTCTTCGTTTTCAGCCTCCGCTGCTGTCACCTGAGAAGGTTCCTCAGCCACGGGCGCATCATCATCCTTCTTCCCGGGCGAGATGAGTCCCGAGAGAGCCTGAAATTGAGAGATCGCGGCGAAAATTTGATTTTCTCATGTGCAGAATCTCATGTCTGATGCGAGTCAATTCTTGCTTATTTCACGTCGTAACTATTGTATACCATTCAGACAGCCTCTGAGACGTCTCTAGCAGTCCTCTGGTAATTTATAGCAATAAATAGCAGGCCTTCCTGGAGGTCTCCAGCTAGAAATGTTATTAACATGTTATTAGCATGCTATTTATTGTATGTTATTAACATGTGAGTTCCCAGCACAGCACTACGACGATGCATTCATTGCTCGGGCGTCGTTGTCTCGAGCTCCTTCTTGGACTCCCACCCTACCTATCTGCCTACCCACACACACACCCGACGTCGACGCGAGTGAGTGGGCTGTACACGTCTGCCGAAGATCTGTGGTCCAGGATTATTGTCAGTGGGACAGGACACGACGGACAGGACAGGATTTTCATCTCGCACTAGGTGAGATGGATTCCAGACAGGATGTGGATGGCTGATACGGTCGTTGTTTATAGTCCTCAGACTGGGATCAAGATTGTGGAGCGCGTTCGATTCGCTGTTGATCTGGACGGCGGCAGAAGGTGAGGCCATCTCTTACTGAGATGTATTAACGAGATGGGCTACTAAAAATGCACCGTATACGGTATAGACAGTTCCCACCTTCGGTTTCACACTGACTGGCACCGGAATCAGAGTATCTGGCAGCGCACCAGCGAACATATAACCGCACATTTCGTCCCAAGTTCACGAACGCCCTCCCCACCGCGGACTCAGATCCTGCACCCCCACGCGCGTGCGAACCGACCGCATCATATCACTTGATAACGCTTGAGTCCCCGCGGGCCCGTCGTCATAGCGATCCCGGCACCAAATTAAATTTGCTTCATCATCCCCATCCCCGTTCTCCATCCATTTTCCATTTTTCACCCCAGGCGTCATCGTCACTCTGCGCCCGCGCCGTACTGTAAATACCCCAGCCCCGTTACAGAAAATAAAAACACAGGGGCGCGTTACGGTTTATAGGGGCCGCAAGCACGTGTTGGGATCTGCAGTCGAAGTCGATCGCGATGCTGAGGCTGCGCCGCCGCTCGCTCGCTGCGCGCCATCCGGACCAACCTCCGCCTCCATCTCAGCCCTCGCCCTCCCCGTCCGCGTCCGTCCGGGGATCGCCCGCCCGCTCCGCGTCCCTGCCCGTCTCTGCATCTGCCTCTACATCTGCGTCTGCGTCCGGCTCTTCAGTCGTCTCCAACGCCGCGTCCACGTCCTCCCCCCGCATCCCCGACGCGGTGGAGCCCTCCTCCTCCTCTGCCTCCCCCTCCTCCTCTGAAGGGGAAGACGAATCCGAAGCAGCAGAGGAAGCGCAAGACGAGGAAGACGAGGCCGAATACCCCCCGCCCCCGCTCGGCCTCGCGCGTGCCTCGCTGCCCGCGCGCACGAGTAGCGGGGAGGGGGCGCTGGCTCGCGTGGGTGGGGGCGCGGCTGTGGGTGCGGGTGGGGGTGGTGGTGGGAAGAGTCACAGCAGCTCCAATGATAATCCCAGCGCGCGGGGTGGGATGAACGGCGTCGCCGTCGCCGTCGCTTTCGTTGAGGGCGCGCCGGAGAAGGGCGCATCGAAGAAGGGGAAGGACAAGGACACAGGGAAGGGGAAGGGCAAGGATAAAGGCCTCATGCGGCGCGTGTCGTCGCTCTTCCGCACCAGCTCCGCCTCCGCACCGTCGTCGAGGAACGGTACGTCTTTCGTGTTTCTTTTTCTTTTTTCGTTCTCCTTGGTGTTCTCCTTTGTGTTTGCTTTTCGTTCGCCCACCTTTCCGCCTTCCTGCCTGCCTCTCCCTCCCGCTCCCGCTTCCCTCTCCCGCTTCCCCTTCTTCCCCCGCCTCCGCGCTCTATTCTATCCTTTTTTCGTTCTTTCGTTCCTTCGTTCTCGTTCTCCTCTCGTTCTTTCTCTCGTGTTGTGTGGCCACCACCTTCCTGCCTCTATGTTCCCGCTCCCGCTCGCGCCTCCCCTCATCTTCTCCTCCCTCTCCCGTTTCCCCCCTGATCCGCATCCGCTCCCTCTCTCTTTTTCGGCGCATGTTCATGCCTCCACACGCTCATCCCTTTGGTCCCCGCTCCTTCCCACCCTCCATGCCGTCCTTCCTTCCTTCATCCTTCTCTTCTCTTCCCTTTCCATTCACCCATTCATTCTCTCGTTCTTCCTCCCCTTCCTTCCTTCCTTCCTTCCTTTCCCTTCTTCCCCCCGTTCCTTCCTTCTCTTCCCTTCCATTCTCCCATTCTTCTTCTCTCTGCTCTCTGCTCTTCGTCTCTCCTTTCTTCCCTTTGGCACCCCTCTTATGCACTCCGTCCCACCAGGCGCCCCCACCCCCACCGCGCACTCCACCTACAACCCCAAAACCCCCTTATCCGCATCCGCGTCCGCCTCCTCGCCGGACGTGCGTGCGCTGCCGCCCCTCCCGCCCCTCCCACCACTTGAGCTTCAGTCGAGTACGCCCGGGAAGCTGAACAAAGACAAGGCGCAGCCGCCGCTCCCCACCTCGACGCACACACCCACAGTGCTGACCAAGGCGAAGGCTGGGAAGCAAGGGAAGAGCGGGAAGGCGGGGGCGGAGGTGGGGGCGAACGTGGGGGCGAAATCAAAACCAAAACCAAAACCAAAAACCCGAACCCTCACGCTATTCCGCGCCAAGAGCGCGTCCTCGTCCAAATCCCGCACGCGCACCGCGACGCCAGTGGATGCGGATGCGAATGAGAATAAGGATGGAGATGAGGATGAGGAAGAGGAAGACGACATCCGCCGCCCGTCGGGGCTCGGGCGGGCGGCGTCTTTGCGCTCCCTTTCTCTTCCTCTTCCTCTCTCCCATTCTCTTTCTCTTGACCGTTCTCTTTCTCTCGACCGTTCTCTGTCGCGGTCTGCGAGTGCGAGTGCGAGTGCGAGTGCGTCTGTTACCGCAAGTGCGAGTGCGAGTCGGGAGGAGGGGAGGCGGGAAGGCCGGCATGAGGGAAAGTCGACCCCGACGCGGACGCGGACGCAGAGCTCGAACCTCGCGCCCGCGCCCTCGACATCGACGTCGGCGTCGGGAAATGACCACGCCGCCTCCGCGTCCTTCGTCTCCGCCTCCGCCTCCGCGTCGAGCCAGCGCTCCCGCTCCTTCACCGCGGAGGAGGATGCGAGTGTTGCGGACCAGGGTGACGAGGATGGCAGCGAAGAGGATGAGAGTGAGGATGACGAGGATGAGGAAGATGAGGAGGAAGACGAGATCCGGCGCCCCGCGGGCCTGGGGCGCGCGGCGTCCTTGCACTCGCTGCCGCTGCTTTCTGGCGCAGGGTCCTGGGGTGCAGACCGCGACGAGGACGAGGGGGGAGAAGGGGGCGCGGGCGGGGGTAAGGCAGGGGGAGAAGGGGGCTTCGAGCTGGCGGAGAGACACGTGGCGCCGTGGACGCGCGTCCTCGCGAATGCGAACGGGGCGGGGATGGGGATGGGGATGGGAGACGCGAGCTACACCCGCACGCGCGCGATATCGTCCCCCGCGTCGACGTTGCTGCATACGCTGCTTCGGTTGCCTCTGCCTCCCTCCTCCTCTTCCTTCTCCCCCCTGAACGGGAACGCACTCGGGAATGGGAATAGCAATAGGAAGGAGAACCGCACCCCTGCGCTCCCGGCGGCACTCTGGCGTATGGTGCTGCAGCACGCGGGGGCGGGCGACGCGGCGCGGGCGGCGGGGGTGTGCCGCGCGGCGTGTGAGGGGGCGCGGGGGCGGTTGTATGGGGTTGTGGATTTGCGGGGTGGGGCGGGGGCGGGGATGGGGATCGGAGTGGGGCGAGAAGGGGGAGTAGGGAGCGACTGGGCAGAGGGAGGCGTGGAGGCGCGGCTGCGGGTGCCGCACCTCGCGGTGTGCGTGGAGGGTCTGACGTGTGCGGGGTGGCCGCCGTGGGCGTGGGACGAGGCGGAGGTCAGCTTGTTTCGTCCGTTTCCTGCGAGTTATGTGCATTGACTAACACCCCTCCGCGGTAGATCCGCCTCCCCGCGCTGCGCAACCTCACCATCTACCCCGCCTCCGCGCTCCCGCCCGACACACCCAAGACACCCACCCCTGGTGGATCCTCCTCCTCTTCCTCCCTACCCGCGCCCAAATCCAAATCCAAATCCACGCTCGACATCCCCGCCCTGCTCGCCTTCCTCGCCGCGCACCCGACCCTCGAGCGGCTCGCCCTCGTCGGCG